ATTGTGACTGGTGATGAAAAGTAGATTTATTTTGAGAATCCCAAATGCACAAAATCATGGGTTGATCCAGGTCAACCATCAACATTGACTGCAAGGCCAAATCGCTTTGGAAAGAAGACAATGCTCTGTGTTTGGTGGGATCAGGAAGGTGTGGTGTATTATGATCTTCTAAAACAAGGTGAAACCATTAATACTGATCACTACCCACAACAGATAATCAATTTGAACCATACTTTGCTTGTAAAACAGCCAGAATGTTCCAGAAGACAAGGCAAAGTAATTTTGCCTCATGATTATGCACCATCACATACTTCAAAACCAGTTAAAGACACAGTAAAAGATCTTGCCTGGGAAGCATTAACCCACCTGCTGTATTCACCAGACCTTGCTCCTTCAGATTATCACTTGTTCTGATCAATGACACACACACTTTCTGAGCAGCACTTCAAAATGTAGGAAGAAGTGAAAAATTGGGTCTCTGAATGGTTTGCCTCAAAAGTTATATTGGGACTGTATCCACAAATTACCTGAAAGGTGGGGGAAATGTGTAGCTAGTGATGGACATTACTTTGAATAAAGCACTGAAATTGGTCACTGAGCTAACCAGGGTCTACCACGTAGACAACAAAGTGAAATAGACATAATAGAGCTCAGATACCTTACATTTCCAAAATAAATTACTTAGTAATAAGAAATCCAACCTACTGCAAGTTTTCTTTGCCACAAGAACAAATTGGGGACTGCTATTTAGAGAAACATTTAACTGAAAAGGTTGCTGGTAAGTGTCCACCACTGAAAATCTCATGGCTTCCCCATAATTACCATGGCTGCATGTATCCATCCTGGCCAGGAGATGAAAGCTAGAGCATATCCTTGTTTGCTCAGTTATCAGCTTTTGGAATGGACCCATTTGGCCATTATAGTGTGGCTATAATTTTGATAAACATCTGCAATTTGCATGTAGGCATTGGCTTCTGCCCAGTGTCTTAAAGCTTGGTCAGCCCCATCTGTGACCTCTCCTCCTAGGAGCGTCCCCTCGGAGGATTGCCTACCAGGTGATTGGCCAGATGAACCATGGGAGCACTGGGAGTTTCCTTGCTGAACCAGTGACCTGAAAAAATGTTGAGGGTGGGGCAACCTCTTGAGGGATCCTAGTAGGGGCCCTTTTAAACCGAGGCAAGTGCAGCTGCCATCTGTGTCCCTAGCGGCCAGCCCAGGGAAATCTCCAGCTGGAGTGAGGTGGCCTCTGTCCACGTGGCTGTGCACACTGAACTACAGCATCTGCTGTCCCCAGAGAGGCACCCCCACAATGGCCACAGACCTTGCTTGCTTTAATCTGGTACAGATTTAAAGTTGGTTTGTCTAAAGTGGGGGGAGAAAAAGTGTCAAAGATATTCTTTAAAGCCCAGTAATTTCAAAGTGCAATTAGGCGATATCACTCAGAAATGACGTTCTTTCCATATCTACAACTTCCCTTTCAATTTGATTATCTATTGAAATGAGCTTTTTCATAAATGGAAAATATTTTCTGTACAGCTGGTGTGAGTCAGTGGTTGAGCACATGCCTGGGTTGTGGGCTCAATCCCCAGTGTAGGGCGTGCAGGAGGCAGCAGATCAATGATTCTCTCTTATCATTGATGTTTCTCTCTCTCCCTTTCCTTTCCTCTCTGAAATCAATAAAAATATATTTTAAAAAACGAAAAGTATTTCCTAAGCATGTGTTTATTTACTTTCCCCCACTTAGGAACCTAGTATTGGTTTTAAAAGCAAGTTTATTCAACTGTATTATGAAGTCAGTCCTATCACTGGGAGATGATATAGGACATTAGGACATAAACAGTGATATTTCAGGAAATGCTTCTAGGATTCTAAAACCTTCCTTTAATGTGCCTTTGGTCTAGTCCAGTGGTCAGCAAACTGTGGCTCATGAGCCACATGCACCTCTTTGGCCCCTTGAGTGTGGCTCTTCCACAAAATACCACGTACAGGTGCACACGTACAGTGCAATTGAAACTTCGTGGCCCGCGCGCAGAAGTCGGTTTTTGGCTCTCAAAAGAAATTTCAATTGTTGTACTGTTGATATTTGGCTCTGTTGACTAATGAGTTTGCCAATCACTGGTCTAGGCCATACCTCATCTGTGCTGATTCATGTAACAAATATATATGATGCTGTATAATATATACATGTGCCCATTTGAATCTCCAGTCTGGTGTACAGACATGTAAAGTCCTTATGACAGTGCAGGAGTGAAGTGTGTACAGAGGGCAGGCAAATCTGATTTGTGGGATCCCAAGACTTCTTGGACCTCACATCGAGACTTGAAGGATGAATAGGAGTTAGATTCCATTTGTTGGTAGGGAGGGTATATTCCAGGCTGAAGGGAAGAGCGTATGCAAAGGGCAAACACCATAGAAAGGAGAGCACATTTGAGTAACCGAAGGTAGGATAGCCCAACATAAACTGTCTTAGCCCATCCACATGCTTATCAGATTAAAGACATCCTCCATGTGCAGACTGAAGCCACGGCCACTGAGTGCCTGCTTCAGTAGGCTACTCACTGGCTGCTGCTCTCATCGATGGAGTTACATCCTATCCAGAGTCAATGGTGAAGGCATGACCCCAAACCTTATTATGGCAGTTGTATTTATTATAACTATGAAGCTTATTAGCTATATAAACAAATTAAATGTAAATATAAGACTAAAAAGAGAGTCATGTCTATGAAAACTAAATTGAACACTTGGAAAGATTCAATAAAAGTGAATTGCTAAAAAAAAGTATTTTCTGTCAAATTAGATGAGAATTAACTACAAAATTTTGAAAAATCAAAGAATCTGTACTCAGAATGCTTTACACTGTTTGTGATTAGTACTGTATTTTAAAGAAGCTAGAACTGGAACTCATGCTTGACACATTCTGGGTGTGGCCTGCGCAAGAGACAAGGCAGAATTCCAGTTACATGATCGTACACGAAGAGCTCTGGTCTGTATGATAGCAAACATGAATTAATTGCTCTGTTATATTTTTTAACTTAAGATATTTATGGCACAGTGCATGTGTTGTTTTTTCTGATTTAGGAGTTGTAGATAGTCTGTTTGCGCCTCTGCTGCAGGTGGCTGAAGCAGGATGAAGATGAGGGGAAGGGTTGAAAGGTTGAGAGGTGAGTCTGGGCTAGAGATCCCACTGAGAGAGGGAAGAAGGAGGCTGCCCTTTTAGGGCCTCCCGTTAAGGGGACTTTATCTTGGAGGTAACCAGGAACCACAGAGGGTTTTAAATGGAGTGAGATTTCCAAGAGATAGGAGGAGTCTGTTGCTTCATCAAGGAGAGAGCCCTGAACTAAGAATGTGACAGTAGTACTGAGGAAATGAAAACTTGGAGGTCGAGCTGATTGTCTAGATATTTTGGGTGCTGCTGCCCAGATACCTGAGTTTTAGGAAGCCTAGGAGAGGAGAACACAAAAGGGGGACTCAGTCCCATCCCAAGCATTTATTTTTTTATTTTTTTATTTTTTATATATATTTTATTGATTTTGTACAGAGAGATAGAGAGCTAGAAACATCGATGATAGAGAGTCATCGATCAGCTGCCTCTTGCACACCCCCTACTGGGGATATGCCCGCAACCAAGATACATGTCCTTGACCGGAATCGAACCCGGGACCTTTCAGTCCCCAAGCCGACGCTCTATCCATTGAGCCAAACCGGTCCCGGCCCATCCCAAGCATTTAAATTGGAGTGATGATGTAATATCCCGACATTTAGAAGGTAAGGGGAATTTAATCCTAAGTGTTTATGCCATTTCAACTTTGATTTTTAAAAATTAAATAAAATCTAGGTGGGACAGCTAGAAGGAGGTATCATCACCACACCCTTAATCATAAGGTCTAACTTGAGGAGGGAGACCCAGACTAGAGGTATAGAGGCATCAGCAAAGGGATGGTTGTTCTTAAAGTTCTAGGAAGGAATGTTACCATCCTGGGTGTATGTAAAAGATGAGAAGAGGATCAACAATTTTGGGGGACATTAAAGGAAAAGAAATCCACAAAGAGATAGATAGAGAAGGCATGGCCAGGCCAAGTGAGTAGTGTCCCAGGTGGCAGAGGAAGCCAGGCTTCAGAGAGGGAATGGTTGATAATGTCAGATGTAACCAGTCAAGTTAGATACTTACTGCTTGAAAAATACCATTGGAGTTAGCAGCCAGGAGTGCTGATCCCGACCAAAGCAGTTGCAGTTCACCAGGAGGGCAGAGCCAGCATGCAGTGTGAGGGTGTCTGCGCAGTCGGTCATGGGGGAAGTTGGGACATTAGGTTTAGTAGAGAGGTGTCTATTTTGCTTAGCTATGTTGGTTTTCTGACTTTTATAGCGAAACATTTCCCATAAAAGATAGAACTAAATAAAAATGATATTTTTAGTTGGGATATTAAAAAACATTTATTTTGTATTTATTTTACTATATTTGAAAGCTCAACATGCTTGTGGATTAATTTTACTAAATAATTTTAATATCTTTTTACTGATTTCAGAAAGAGAAAGGGAGAGGGGGAGAGAGAGAATTGTGATGAGAGAGAATTAGCTATCTCCTGCATGTCTTCTACTGAGGATCAAGCCCACAACCCGGGTATGTGCTCTGGTCTCACCTGGAATCAAACCATGACCTCTTGGTTCATGGGTCCATGCTCAACCACTGAGCTACACCAGCTGAGCCTTTACTAAATATATTTGAAAAAAGCAGTAATGTTACATATACATCAGAAAGTTCTATTCCTTCATGATGTAATATCTCAACACTTAGGAAGTGGGGGAAATTTAAACCCAAGTATTTATGCCATTTCAACTTTGATTTTTAAAATTTAAGTAAATTGAATTATAATAAATTATTGGAGTACATTTTTTTGAAAAGTCCTACAACAAAATAAAGTTATTAAAAACACTTTAAGTTTAGCTTTTACTTAGTCAAATCAAAGAAAGGTTTTTTTCTCCCCTTTTTTGTTTATCTTTATTGTTGAAAGTATTACAGATGTCCCCTTTGATTTGTGGGGTTTTTTTTAGGTTTTAGCAGTACTGTCCTCACTATATGTTCATTGGACAGTAGCACAACCCCAAGAAAAGGATGGCTGATTTTTTTTCTCCCCCCATTGACCCTCTCCAGCCTGCACCCGCCCCTCCCAGGCCTTCACCACTCTATTGTCTTTGTCCATGGGCTATGCATATATGCACATAAGTTTCCCGTTAACCATTTGCCCCTAACCTCCCACCCCTGGGTTTTTCTCATTTGCCTTAGTATTTTTTGTTGTTGATCCTACTTCTAGTTTGTTGGAAACAACAAATTTATAGATAGTTCAGTTAAAAATAGTTCAGAACATAGTTCTGTTTTTTCCTTAGTATGATCAATAGAATAATATGTTAAGAATACTTGATTGCTAGACCTAATGAGTTAGAAAAGGAAGGGGACTCATACAATGATTCTGGCATTGTTCTATTCCAGTTATTGTTAAGAAAGTTAATTCTGTTATTAGCAGACCTTTGGGTCAAAAAAACACAATTGAATGCCAGTCTTCTCCTGACTAGCTCTGTGACCTTGGGTAAGTTACTTAACCTGAGTCTCAATGTTCTCTTTTGTCCTAGGAGATATTATGTTATACACCCACAGATAAGTGAGAATGATCTTGTACACAGTAAGCATGCAGTAAATATTAGCTGCCATTACTACAAAGAACTAAAGGGAAGCATTAATCTCACAGGGATCAGGGCAGTGGTGAGCAGTGAGCCATGTTTACAGCCAGAGTACTGTTATTTATTTAACCGCACTAACCATTTAATCACAGATGAGTCACTTAATCTAATGAGTTAAAAGCCATAGGGCACCAGGAGTGTACATAGAACAATATTCTGTTATTATTTTGTTATTATCCCAATATAGATTAAACAGATTTAAAATGTATACACTGAGGTTATTATAGTGGGAAATTTTCAACTGAATCTTTTCTGTTGATTCTCTTGACCCAAAATGTTTTTGAAATTATTTTAAACACAACATAAAACCTTCTTGTTTGATCTCTTATGCTTGGATTATCTCTTTCTACATTTGATTTTCTTTCCTTTTTTGTTCATCTTCACCTGAGGATATTTTTTCCAGGGAGAGTGGAAAGAAGGGAGGGAGGTAGAAAGATAGATAAAGGGAGTGAGAAAGAGAAAGAAGCAGAGAAAGAGACATCAATTGGTTGTCTCCTACATGTGTCCCAACGGTGGCCGGGGATTGATCCTGCAGCCCTTTGGTGTGATACTCTAAACACCAGCCAAGGCTCTGCATTTGACTTTCAAACATTTTCTTTCAATAATGAATCAGAGAAAATAGGAAATAAGAACTTACACCCTGCTGAGAGTGATAGTAACAGAGTTCTTGGGAAAGCTGGTTGAAGTATTGGTGACATACGGTAACTCTTAGATTGTCAGGTTCGGACCGGATAGTTTCTCTTCTCCCTTTCCCATCTCCCTTTATATTCTAATACCAAGAAGCAGTGGCGTCATTGGCCGTATTTATTTGTAAAACAAGATAATTCAGTTAGCTTGTCTTTAGGCAAGTACTTTGGTAAAAATGTTTTCCTAACTGCTAACACTGTGCACATTAAAATCACTCCCTTCTGACTGCGCTGTTGAGACGAGTGTGGATCCCATAGCCGGGAACTTAGAAATTAGTAGGAAGGGTTCCATGTATAGAAACAAGTATTACAAATAAAGCATTGAGCATTTTCCAGCAAACTCTTGACATTATTATCTCCTAACAGTTAAAACATTCTCAGTCCTAAAACTTGTATTTGTTCTTATCTTTCTAAACCACTAGAGTCTTCAAAATATCATGTGTCTAATACTACATTCCAGAAATTGGATTTTAAAACTCAGAGGAAGGAGAGTAAGAGATCTAAACAACTGACAACCACCAAGTGCCCGTTTTCTGTACATCTTACTTGTCTTACAGACAGCAATCCAAGACTTAAAAATGTGCAGTAAATTTCCTCTCTCTGCTAAGCAAGATTTAAGTCACAGTAGTGAGCTGGCGTCCCAACCAGATCAGAATGGCTCGAAAGCCCAGATTGGTTTCCATTCACTGTCGTTGAGGTGCTGTGCTTTCCCATCACAAACCACAAAATTATTCCACCTAGCTGCAAAAAGTATACTTGTTTGGCAGTTTTAAAGAAGATGTCTTCCTGAAACTAAAGTTATATGTCAGTTATATCTCATTTTTGCAAAGATCACACCTTAACAATTGCCTTTTATTAAAACAAAGAAAAGTGAAACTCATCTAATACCCATTTTGTTTTTGTTGTGTTTGAAACATGCTCAGTCCTAAGGACCCAAAGACAAATGGATACAGGAAAGGTGAACTGCATTCTAGACCTTGAGGGCGACAGAGCCACCTGTGCTCCCAGGAAAAGCCATGGCCCGATAATTATGGCGGCACCTGTCTTTTAAAGGATGACTTTATATTTGCTTTTGAATTTATCTAAAAGTTCTAGTCAGTGCCCAGGAAAAGTGTCATTTCTGGAGTCATTTTTAGGGTGGTTGGGGCACAGAGAAGGTGTGAAAAAATGATGGGAGGGTGCACTGAAGTCAGTGAGAACAAATTATTTTCTGTGTTCATGCTCACATAACCCCGGGTTGAAAGAAATAGCTTTGAAGATACAAAGAGAGGCGCACATTCATCCTCTGGTTTCAAGTGCACACTGCATGGTCTTCACACAGCATATCCTTGTAACCCTGCCCCATTTCCTGTGTGCTCTGTGATTGGGCCTTCCCCTTTTGTGGTAAGGCGCCTGGCTGCTGACTGAGGTTTCAGTAAGACATAAGTGGAGCCTGCCTAGCTGGTGTGGCTCAATAGCTGAGCATCCACCTATGAACCAGAAAGTCATGGTTCGATTCCCTGTCAGGGCACATGCCCAGGTTATGACTCAATCCCCTTTGTGTGTGTGTGTGTGTAGGGGGGGAAGTAGGAGGGGGGGGGGTTGCAGGAGGCATTCAATCAATGATTCTCTCTCACCCTCTCCCTTCTGAAATCAATAAAAATATATTTAAGAAGAAAAAAAAAAGACCTAAGTGGAGCCTGCCTTGCCCATACATGAGTAGGCAGTATTCTGAAACGGGGTGCAGTTGAACATCAGTGTGTGTTAGAAAATGTATGTTATGTTAGGTGTCTGTGTAATATTTTTTCTGGAAAATAATATAATTTTGACCTGTAAATTAATAAGGCTTGTCTTTAATCTATTCAGGAAGAAAGTTATAGCTCTGCATACACAATTATTTATGCTAATGAACAAGGGAACTTTGATCTGAATAACTATGGCCAAGTCCTATTAAGGCCATGGTCAGCAAACTGCAGCTCTTTGGCCCTTTGAGTGCGGCTCTTCCACAAAATACCACAGCCTGGGTGAGTTTATTTTGAAGAAGTGGCGTTAGAAGAAGTTTAAGTTTAAAAAATTTGGTTCTCAAAAGAAATTTCAATCGTTGTACTGTTGATATTTGGTTCTGTTGACTAATGAGTTTGCCAACCACTGTGTTAAGGAATCTCCCATTCCAGCCCCATATTGGCCATGGGGCAGCACAGGAGTGTACATAGAACCCTTACTATGTAACTCTTGATTCTGGGTAGTCATGATGTATATGGGAACTTGGACTGGGGCTCAGTCCAGCCAAGGGTAAGGGGGACCTTGGTTCTTGGTTGATGTGGTATCTGTCCTTAAGCCCATTTTCTAAGATTGACAATAGTGCTGTACCAAAGAGTAGGATTATTCCTGCTATGTTGTGCCTGTCCTGTAGCTTTTGGCAGTGAGGCTGTGACCAAACCTAGTGGGGACATAAAGTTCCTAAGCTGTTCATAGGTTAAGGACACCTCTATACCACACAGAGAGGTTACTGCTTTGGTGTGAAGCATTGGCAGCTGGGAGGGAAACTTTGGTTGATGAGCAGATAACAAATGTTGGGGTCTTTCTCCATAAAATAGCAAAGTGGTCATATGAAAAATTCCATACCACATTGTACTTAAAATAAGACAATAATAGAAATTCGGAGCTAAATGGAATTTTTTTATTATTATTATTATTATTTTTTTAAACAATGAAATTCTTTTTTTATCATTGGAGAAAGCAAGCAGGGGAAAAGTCACACATATTAATAATCCACAATGCCAAGTTTTTGAAGAGTAAAAATTTCCCAGCTGGGAAGGATGGCTCCCTTGGTTTCTGTTTTATCAGTAGGAATTACAAACACCTGCTCCTTCACCAACAAGTCTTGTACTCAAAAAAGAACAGATCCAAGTCTGAGAGAACAACCATTTCAACTGTAAAAGGCTGAAGCCTCCAAACACAGTCACTGTTTTCTGCCGACCATCTTCATCTCGTGGTGACATGGCCAATGCCGGGAGACCTGTGGCAGGCGTCCCCGGGCGAAGCAGCAGCAGATGTCTATGAACACTGTGTGGTGACAGCGGCTCACAGCCTCCAGACTCATAGCTCCACATGGTGGGCTTCTGCCTTCAACAACTCACTGGGTTTCATGAAGATGCCTTCCATGGCTTTCCAGTAGTTGTTCGGGCTTGACTGAGCCATGCCATGCACCTCTTTTTGCCCACTGATGGGCCGGCCATATTGTTCTCCAGTGACAGACAGCAGGACCTCGGTGGAAGAATGCTTGAACCGCACCTCATCATCCCTCACCCAGTAGGGCCCGTTACAGAGCACTGTCCAGTCATCCAGATAATCACCTTCACCTTCTTCACCAAAAGCACTCACTTCCTGGTTTCTAGAAAGAGGTGAGGTGAAGTGGTGACTATGGAGGTTTCGGCCAGTGTTGACATGTGTCAGCCGAATGGGCTGGCCACATCTGATGGGTGTTCCCCTCTCACAAACTGTGGAGGTCTTCCCGCGTATCCTCCAGTAACTGTTGCTGTCATCCACAGAAGTTACACCTGTCACTGACTGCTGCCCACTACCTGACCCGTAGTGCACGTCGTGTGAGTGCAGTCGCATGTTGTGGCGCGTATTGAGTAGCTTTACCACAGACCCGCAGGTGACCACAGCCGGACTGGACGCTCCTACGGCGCTCCACAAGCCCCCGAACAACAG